CCATGTTGCAGGAGTCAGAGCGCTGAGTTAAATCAAGCTCCTCTCGCCTTCCTACACTGATGTAAATGGTGAGGGTAAAGGGAAACTGCAACGGGGTATTAAGTGGTGTGTGTACCAATGACCTTAAGTTAAAGCTGGGCAAATGCACAGGGAGTGCATCTGATTTCTTTCTCATTTTCTCATGATTATCCACTAGGAAATTCTGCCCTGCTTCACATCAGAACATCCTTCAAAACTAATTAAGATGTTTATTAGGCAGACACTTATGCTTTCTGGTAGTTCTTCACTTCTTAAAAAACCCAAAGTCCTTGATGAAGAAGAATCCACAGGAAGAGACTCCTGATCATGCAACACGTTCACGGAATCACTTACTGATAAGACTGCCATGGAATGGCATTGGAGAAGATGGAAATCTGAACTGCTGCAGCTGAAACTGGGGCATTCTATGTTTTCTTTCCAGAGGAGCTGCTTTATGAGGAGACCCAGCCATGCTTCTTTGATCCAGTCATTGCTCATTAAAAGTCCATAGGGAACTGGCAAAGGAGGGAGAGAACTAAGTCTTGAGCAAGGTGAATATGCTTGGCAGTCTGCAGTAGGGAGGAGGAGGGAAAATTCAGAGCTAAGTGGCAATTAGAGAGTAACAAAGCCCTTTGCAGCTTACAAGTGAATGTGGGCAGGAATATCAGAAGACTCAGCGATGCATGGCATTGCAGGGAGAGGCTAAATGCCACAGCAGCACACAGTGAGGCTGCACTGCAAAGTAAGTTTTTCCAGAGGTAGATAGTAGGTCAAAGGCATGTCCAGTGGTTAAGCAGAGCTTATTTGCCTGTGCTGAACTTCCTATAGTCCAGGGATTTTTCAAGATGCGTGGCCAAATGGCAGAGTCATGATCATAGGTCCAGACATGGCCCTAACCATTGGCAGTCAGCCTGCATGTAACTGTTGAAGACTACAGATACCAGTTATTAAGGTGGAATCCAAGGCATCATTGTATTAAATGGGAATTCAACAGAAAAGTCTTTCTTTAACAAACGTAGACAGAAGATTTCTGAATGGATGTCTTACTTGCTGAGAGAACAGTGGTAAAGGAAAAGAAAACAAAAAATCTGAAAATAAAGCCTGACTCCTGTGGTTTAGCAGTCCTTCCAAGAACGAGGAACCTGTCCTACAGGTCGTGGCAATTGGACATGTGACTGTTGTCTCACAGTATGATCCTGAGGAAGCCAATATGGGAAGTAGAGCCAATCTTACACTTCCTTTCCCTTCCCCCTGCAGAACTGTGACCTCAGCCAGCAGGACACATGGCTACATTTGCCCTCAGTCGGTATGACCAGATGCTATTATCCTCCCAGCCCATGGCCCTTCCACCAGGGCAACATCTGTATAGACACTAATAAACAAGCCCAAAGGGAGATGAGGAAATTAAGGCTACTGAGCACAGCTACCTATCACAGGCCTACAAGCAAATCTCAAGGCCTGCCAGGCGCATTTGTGTAAACATGCGTTGACTCATACATCACCACTTGGCTATAAAGCTCTGTGTCTGGCTTTCCATGCTGAAACAGAGCGATTAAAGCCATAAACCAGATAATTAACATTGGCAGATGAGAGAGCTGTCATCAAAGTATTTCAGGGCCCTTCTCGAAGGAAGGAAATAACCCCGTATACAAGGGGAGGATACTTAGGCACAGAGCAGGGAACTGACCTGCCTGGCATCAGCCACAAGACTCAGAACAACCATCTCCTTGACTGTCCATTACTGCTTATGCCCATGAGCAGAAAAGCCTAAAAGGCTGTTTGGAAGCACAGCTGGTTATTATTCTCTCTTTCAAACTAAAAAGTATTCTCCACCCTGACCCCTCTCTGGCATGAAAGAGCATTGCAGGACAGATAGCATCACCTTTCCTGGGGCTACAGCAACAGAGACACCAAGGATTTACACTTACTTAAAATCTTTGGCTGCTTTTACTTGTGGCTGGAACTGAATCCCAGTTCTAACGCACAATTTTATTCTGTTGAGTAAAATTTCTACATCTTTTCTTTTAATTCTTTGAATACTTTTTCAAGTTTACTGTCTTTAACTGCCACATAACACAATTATGCATAAATAGATGCTAATTATTATTATTATTATTGCTCCTTCACAGGTGAAGGGCCTGAAGAGCAAAACAAACACTAAAGAGATTCATCTTGGAATTGATTTTAGGGCATAAGTATAATTTCTTGTTTTCTGCCCTCTGCGATAACACATATCTACACAGGTTTGTGAGCCAAACATCATCTGGACAACATGTTCTGTGCACAGTGAGGCATCTTATAGCTCTATGTGGAATGGACTGGAGCTTCCCACTGGGGTGATTTTTGTTTGTTTAGGTTTAATGTAAACTACAGCAAGAAGAAGAAAAAAAAATCACTTAAGTTGTAAAGTTGAGCAAGCAATCAGATGTTGAGAAATGAGAATAGAAACTTCCACTGCTTTCAGTTCAAGCAGGATCTGTCTCAACAGATTTCAAGTAGTCCTTCCTTCAAGAGGTCAGAAGTATCCCAAGGTAAGTTGTGCTACTTCTCACCCAGCTTTGAAACACAGTGATTGCCAAATTACTGTGTTTACCAAAACAGATGAAGATATCCATTGTAAGGCAGCCACACATATTCCTCATGCTGACTGAGGCACATTGGATGGCTAGGACTTTTGTTTAGTGTCTTACTACCAGCAATTTTTATAATAATTTAATTTTCTATATTCCCATGCTAGAGACTATCTAGGACATTCTGCTCCTGGGCCTGCTGTTCAGCTCCTCTGGGTTTGCATTTGTAATGCTTTAGAGAGGGTTGATAAACACAGGCATATGTGAAGAGCAACAGCAACAAAAAAATCCTGCTTGCCTACGAAGGGTTTATTTAAACTGATGTAAATCCTGAGCAAATTCTGCTCCTGGGAGCAGAAGTGTCAGAACTAGCCATTCAAGCTGTTGCTTTATTATCTAGACAGGTTACGGAGCAATGAATGAGCACTCAGAATCCACCAAGAAAGCTCTTGCAGGAAAACTTAACCCTAAATTCCACTCCTATAAAGATGCTTGCTGAAGGCATGTTGAAAGCAAAATTTAAAATACCCACTAATTTTTTTTTATAAGATCTCTTAATTGACTTGTGTTTAGAAGGCTGGACAAGGAGGAGGCAGTGAGAGACTCGCTGATACGTTGCAGTAGAATCAAGGAAAAGTAGCTCTGAGCTTATGGTTGGGACCCAGAATATGCTGAGTTGGAAGGGACCCACAAGGATCATTGAGTCCAACTCTTAGCCCTGCACAGGACCATCCCCAAGAGTCACACCATGTGTCTGAGAGCGTTATCCAAACGCTTCTTAACTCTGCCAGGCTTGGTGCTGTGAACACTTCCCTGAGGAGCCTGTTCCAGTGCCCAACCACCCTCTGGGTGAAGAGCCTTTTTCTAATATCCAACCTAAACTTCCCCTGACACAACTTCAGGCCATTCCCTTGGGTCCTGTCACTGTTCACCACTGTTCACTCCTCTTCCCCTCATGAGGAAGTTTTACCTATCAAAGTACATAACAAGCAATGGCTTTATTTCACTGCTGCAGGTAAAGCATTTTCTTTACCTTTTCCTAATAATCACATAGCTTTCCTTCATAATTTTTAAAGTTTCCATTTTCTGTTGTAGCAATTTGATTACTTGACTCCAGATTAGTAGTGTGGCTAACACTGATTTGCTCTGTACTGCTTGAAACTTCATTCTCTGTTTGTACCAATTCAATTCCCTCCTGTTTGTTTTAATTCGCTAACATTTACAGAAAGGACTAAATCATTTTCTCTATATATAATTAGTAAGGATGAAACCAGTAGAGAATTGGTGTCCCTAAGAGCCTAAGGAGGTCACTTATAAATTAATTGCTGATTCTCAGATTCACCTGGGAATTTCTTATGAAATCATGTAGTACTTTTTCTACACATCTCAGGTGGGATCCATGATGGGCTTGTTTGGAGCTGAAAGGACACTTGTGGCAAAAGAAGTTATTGGCATAGGACTCTTGCCCCATATGATGAAGAAAGGCAAGAGGTGTGTAATGAATGAGAATGGGGACTCCAGAAGGAGATACAAAAATTTTGCTGTTACAGCAGTCATACTCTATTGTGATGAATGATATTCTCTCCTTGCGTTTGCCATAAAACAACTATGGAAAGCACAGAAACAGTTTTTATGGAAGGTCACTTCCATCTTATGGTTTTCCCATCTTTTTCTGGCACTGGGTCAAGATCCAGAATTCAGATTTACACAAATGCTGAATACTCGCACACTAATTGAAACACACTTTAAACATCCCATCTGGGGGGTGAGGAGGAAGGCAGCTTCCCCCCAAAATAATCAGAACTTTGGGAATAAAAAAAGTCAGATATCCCAAATCAGCAGATAGCTGGGATAAATTTGTCTCTGTGCTTCAATTGTCTCTGAAGAAAAATAACAGCTTTGTTATAATTAACAGTGGGTTTGAGAACATAGAAATGATGTCTATGAGAAAATAATTTATTTTTTAATGTATTTTGGATGGTGCACATTAAATGAGGAAAAAGAACACCCATTTCCTGAATACTGCAAATTTTTGTTTTCAGAACACTGATAAACCATTTTTATGCCTTTGGAGATCATGTAGGGTTATTTATGTTTGTTTTTAAAATGCATATTTGTATACTAACCAGGTCTGTCCTTCCAATTCCTGCTCACTGCAGTGAAACAAATTACAGGCACGCCTAATTTCCCACGAAGTTTAGACCAAACACGTGATAAACCTACCACATCTCCACCTCCTGATCCCATCCCTTTCAACAGCAAAAGGCTTCCAAACATATAAGGGCAGAGACAGGAGATTTGGCTATGGGCTCCAACCTGGCAGGCTGTGCTGACCCCAGTTCCCTTTCTGTGAGCACTACTACATATCTGAAGAAGTAAAAAATAAATAAAAAATAAAAAATCTGTTCCCACCTCAGCCAAAGCAGCAGAAAAGTGATTACAGTTCTTGTGCATCAAGTGGTACGCATTTCCTTTGTACTCCTTGCCCAGCTCTTCCATAATCTTATCCACATCCTCTTCTGTGAAGTCTGTGGTGCCCAAGGCAATGGATTCTCTAGTTAAAAGCAAAACACACAACAGGAAACATGGAAAGGTACAGTGAAGAGCATGATATATACTAAGGGAGAAGAAAATGATCAGACATTGGCAAGAAGGACAGGCTTAAACATTATGGACATCATATCTGAGGCCATCAGAGACTCTCACTAACAGAATGGCACAATAATATCCCCAGCTTTTCCACAAAGCAGGTTACTGCACAGGCAACAGTCCCAAGAACTTCCTGCTCACCACCAGGGCAGTCTCAGCTCTGGGGTCTTCTCCCACTCTGCCCATCATTCCGGAGCAGAAATTTCCATTGTGACAGAGGAGATGCCTTTTTTTCCCAATTGAGAGGGTTCCCATGGGGTGGGCCAGGAAGAAGCAGACTGAAAACATGCAAAATCCTATTGCTTCTCCCAATATTCACTCCATAGCACTTGTTCTAAAAATCTCCAAAAACCTTCAACATGAACAGGTAGTCTGGGATTGTCATGCCCCTCCTGCCATGGGCATTTCCTTGACCCACAGTCCCACAGTCTGAGCACCCTGAAAATCACATGAATGCAGCATCCTCCCAGGCTCCTCTAGCAGCCAGTCTGTCCCTTGTGACAGAGCAACAATAAACACAGGAGATGACTTCAGGTACTCTTTGCAGTATCCACAAACAGAAGTTAGTCATAAAAAAGAGAAGTTTTATTTTTTCCCCCTGTGCATTGGCTCTGTGTAACAAGTGAAATGGGGAGAACAGAAAACAAAAATATAGGAAAAGAGAACTGCACTCATTTATAAGCATTCTTTTAATCCCTGACACAGTTCAGCACTATTCCCTGTTTGGTGTACATGCTCTTTTATCTATCTCCAAAATCCCTGCAGGGCTGCCTTTGAATTAGGATCATGTAAAGGATGCAGTGAGGGCAATTATGAGGAGAGGACTTCCCTACTCCTCCAAAACTGATGGCTACCAGGGGCAGGGGAGAAGATATAGAAAAGGGCCCTTACTTGAATTTAAAGGTCTCGCCAAGTTCTACCGCACTGCCAGGTGTGATCTCGAAAATCCCACTGAAAGGGTAGGGATGCCCTCCATAGGCAAACTCTGACAAGGAAAGAAACAGACTGTGAGTAATTGAATTAACGCCATGTCAGGAAAAAGTCTATGGCAGCTGTCTGCACAGCTCAACATCAGCACCAGGGGCTGGGCTATTGCCAAAATCTCTTTCAACCAGACTCTGAAAGCCGTTTTCACTCTCTGGTTACCTATCAGACTGAGAGTGCCCTTACAGTCTCCATCCTTGCTAACACTACTGTTTTCCTGCAGCACCAGGAAAACTCTCTGAGTGTGCCTCTATGCCCATCCAAGTAGCTTCCTCTCAGTGGAAAATTCTGCATTGAGGGCATCTGCATAAACTGTGAGAGGCTGCCATTGGTGCTACTGAGCTTTAAGAAGTCTTTTCCAGAGTAGGGAGAAATCAAATCTTTCAGAGGTATTTACAGGCAGAGATTAGGAAGTCTTTGCAGAAAGCCAGGCTAATTGCATTCTGCTGCCTCAGCACACAGTCCCTCCATATAATACAGGCCAGCCTGCATGGTCTGTGAAACACAGCCTGTGGTCCTCAGGGTGTCATACAGGCCATCTCGCAGGGCCTGTGAAAGCCTCAGTGCTCAAGATGGAAATGGCACCCCAAGGGCTCTGTCTACTGCATCACACTGAGTAAAAATACCATGAATGAGTAGCCCAAGTCATTCCCATTTAATGCTGAAGAAGGCAACAGAAAGTCAGTGATGTTAGCCCATCCTTCACTGTACTACAGCTGTTTCCCCAGATCCCCTGACTGCGCATTTTGCAATGGGTGGCTCTAATCAGCTTTAGCCCCATCCAGGCTCCACCAATTTCAGAAGTCTTACAAGGCATTTTCTTTTATCTATAACTCTGCTGTTTCAAATGAATGGGTTCCAAAATCTGGAAACCCAGATTCCAAGATTTCTAGACCATAGGCATTCATAAAGAATGACTGGAAAACAGATTTAGCCGTGACAGGGAATTCGCACAAACACATATGCGGGTCTTAAAACACCACTGATCTCAAAACACTACTGATCTGCCTATCTTCCCCCTCCTTCATTTCTCCTATTCTCTATCCTCCTCCTTCACTGCCCTTGGAATGGCTTTCCAACATTGCTCCTCTATCTGCCATCCTGCTACACACCTGCACAAGCTATAGAGGCTGCAGTTACTGCCGAAAATAAGAAGGGCTACATGGTTCATGACAGAACTGCACAAGTTACTCCTGGACTGCACAATGGACTCTAAAAAGAGAACTGGTTGAGTTTTTCATTCCTCAAAACATTCCTTGCCAAAAGCTGTAAATTTGGGATACTTTTCCATATCAGACTAGCCATACATCGTCCCCATGTTCTGCAGGTAGGGAAAAGGAAACACTTCATACCTCTGCCGTAGATCTCGATGCCAGAGTGGAAGACACCAATCCCCAAGGTGGAGGTGTATTCGTTTATCCAGTACTACAGTAAGAGAAAAGCCACATTGGGAAGCATTAGTGGAAAAGAAACACATGATCTTGGTCTAGGATATATCCCCTATCTCCCCAACTCCTCTTAAGAAGAGTGATTTTGAAATGATCTAGAGACAAACAAATTGAGACTCCTTACAGACCAACAGAAGTGGGCACTGTGTTTATACAGCTGGCTGGCATTAGGCCTCCAAAAATGCTCATCTAATCCTTTCCACAGAAGGTACTAACCTCTATTAAGATATAACAACCTAAACCTGCATAAACCCAGCTGCTACAGGATGTGTGATTATTTATCTATCTTCTCACTTAAATACCTGACACTGAGCCAGTTTTATCAATTCACTTGCCTTATGCGATCTAAAAATCTGGAGTAAGAGAATCCCCAATTATTTTCCGCACACCTTTTTACATCACCTGCCAACATCTGCTTATTAATATTTTGGTTTTAGGAAAAAAGATCATAGAGACAGAGGTCTGTTACCCTGATAGGTCAGAGGGTCACTATTTAGTAATTATCTATCTAACAATGGTAACTGCTTTACAGAATAAAAAGGAACTCAGAGATAGTCAGCATTTTGTTCAGAGACACTATATACTATCAAGCACTGATTTCAGAAGAGAAAATTAGGCCCAAGATGGACAAACCTTCACCCAAGTTAGACAAATTTTTAAGAGGAGCTGTTAAGTGAGTTTGGTGCTCTGTAGCCCAGCACTTCCCCATTACATTTAGAGCAGAGTAATGCCGCAGTCTGGTGTATGCATGTGATGCTCTTCCACCATTTCCACCATACCGTGAAGGACAGCACAGACACCCAAACAAGTCCCAGCTAAGCTAATTCTGAAGTGGAGAGCCGTACAGCTATGCCAGGGCAGTGCTGCATTGGAGATAATTAGCCCTGCCCAGCACCAGTATTTATTAGGTCAGTTGCAGAGCTGTGCTGCTGCAGAAATTGTTTTCAGGCACTGAGCAAACTGCACATGCCTGGTATATTTACAATTCACAGCTGCTGTGCAGTGAAGAGACACCTCTGGTAACTCAGAGCAACTAAATTCTTGTTTTAATCAAGCACTGCAAGGAAAGTGAGTGTTGTTCACTTGTTCCTGTACAAGGACATAACAGGTTCATTAAACTAAAATTCTCTTTTGAGTCTGGTGGGAGCTTCTTGCGAAGGCAGAGTAAGCTGCACCTTCCCTGTGTCTGGTGTCACTGAGCTGCCATGGTATGAATAAGAACCCCTCTGCTGTCAGGCAACCAGAGGTCTGGCACTCCAACTACTGTACTCACACTGCTTGCTTATGTATATATGACAACTGCAGTAGTTCTGTAAATCACCTGAAAATGTTTTCTGCAAGACCACTGCTACTGTGAAAAAACACAGTAACTCTGATATGAAAAGTGCATGGCCAATCTTTATACCTTAAACCATGTCCCCAAAAATGCTTGCCTCTGGCAGTACAGCAGTTCCATTTCCCTCCAGAAAATGCTGTAATGCTACTTGTTCTTTGCGAGTTTTCTTATCACAAATGATGTACTGCTGCTGGAGGGCAGCCAACTAGCTGACCCCAGCTGGAGCCCTGCCCACTGCTCTCTGCAAACCTTGTGTAACCTCCATTTACCTCTTCACTTGAATTGTGCAAACTCTTGTTTTTTAGGATACATCAGAGCTGGGTCAGGTAGCTCTCAACCTCTGCCAGCTGGGACAGCATGTTAGCAGTGAACCCTCTGGTGAACACCAGGCCTAGTATTTAGGTGCCCTTGCCTTCTACTGCCCTTCTCCACAGTTCTCTGTTGCCCTGTCCTCTGCACCAGGAACATCCCTACTCTAAATGGGAAAGAAGATACAGAGGTGGAGGCCACATATGACACCAGGGGACAAAAGTCTGTCTTCCCTGGACACATAACTCTCAGTTCAGTTCTTTGATCTCCCAAATCTTGTAGAATCATAGAATCATTAAGGCTGGAAAATACCTCTAAGATCATCAAGTCCAGCCATCAACCTGGGTTCAAGTCCAGCCATGGGACCCCACCATGTTCACCACAAACCACATTCTAAAGTGGCATATCCACACATTTTTTGAATATTTCCAGGGATGGTGACTCCACGACTTTCTTGTGAGCTTGTACCAATGCTTGACAACCCTTTCCATGAGGATATTTTTCGATATATATTCTATATTCTAAACCTCCTTTGACAGAACTTGAGGCCATTTCCTCTTGTCCTGTCACTTGTTACTTGGGAGAAGAGATCAATTCTCACCTCACTACAACCTACTTTCAGGTAGTTGTAGAGAGCAGTGAGGTCTCCCCTCAGCCTCCTTTTCTCCAGGCTAAACAATCCCAGTTCCCTCAGCTTCTTCTCATAAGACTTGTGCTCCAGACCCTTCACCAGCTCTGTTGCCCTTCTCTGGACACACTCCAGCATCTCAATGTCTTTTTTGTAGTGAGGGGCCCAAAACTTGACACAGGATTTGACGTGCCACCTCCCCAGCAGCAAAGTACAGGGGAATAATTACTTCCCTGGTCCCATACTATTTTTGATCCAAGCCAGGATGCCATTGGCTTTCGTGGCATCTTGGGCACTGCTGGCTCGTGTTCAGCTGCTGTTGACCAACACAACAACTGTTCCGCCGGGCAACTTTCCAGCCACTCTGCCCCCAGCCCGTAGTGCTGCATTGGGTCATTGTGACACAACTACAGGACCTGGCATTTCACTCTACTGCACCTTATAAAATTCACCTCAGCCCATCGATCCAGCATGTCCAGATCCCTCTGCAGAGCTTTCCTACCCTCATGCAGATCAACACTCCTGCCCAGCTTGGTGTGGTCTGCAAACTGACTGAAGGTGCAGTTTTAACTATCTGGGTTAACTCCTCAGATAGTGCCAGGTAGTCTCAGCAAGCTTCAGAGAAACACTGGTTTCTCAAGTCCTACTACAACAACTCCCAGATGATATGGTAAGTAGGTTGTCTTCTTCCCTCAGGCTGAGCTATTGTCTCACAGCAACAATACAAGCAAAACATGCCCAGGTCACGCCAGCTGCTTTGCTTAGAGAGGTAACTAATAGGAAGAGAAGGGAGACATTTTAAATTAGAAATGCTCTTGCCAGTTATCAAAATCAGGGCTATCTGCAGAGCCTCATCTGCATCACACTTTACATTTCAAAGAAGAAAGTTAAACTGAAAGCCACTTGCAGCTATACCATTTTCTTCTTCCATGTTAAAGTTTATGTTGGGTCCAAACAACTAATAAAAAATCAGACAGGAAAAAATGAAAAACCTCTCCTTGACTGAGTATTTCATAGGGTAATGTGCTGAGACCTGATCACCTCATAGGTACAGAGCACTGTTAGATCACAAGCCCATCCTGTGCCTCGACTACTCTTGTTCCCAGCACAGAACTTCAGCCCTTGGAACCCACCCTGCCCCACTCCAGGAGCAGAGAGCCAGGCTGTGGGACAGCTCTGGAAGCACAGGTGATGAGGAGGTTCCACCAGAGTTAGAGTGTTTCACTGGCTGATGGCAGGTGTTGCAAGATTACAACCATCACATGGACATTTCTGTATTTAAATAGTGTATTTTTCATTATTAATTCCTTTAATGAATTATTATGGAATTGCAACAACCTCAGCTACACCCAAATTTGAACTGAACAGAAGCTACTCTGATTTAGCACTTTCTTTCAAATAATTTCAGTAACACAAGGGTGTAATTGAAGTGGGGTCTGACTTATATCGTGGTTCTATTGATGTGATACTGATATGACCTGCTAGCAAGACCAAAGAGCAAGGCAGCTCTGAATCATGACTGTACTGTCCTCACCTCACCCGTGTCTCCAGGGTGCTGTAGAATCTGCCTCCGGTGTGTGACTGAACACACAGAGAATGCCTCACAGCACTTTGGCACAACCCACGGCTCGTCTCGGGAGGAAGCTATGCCGAAGTGAACATGTCAGTCACTTGCTGAGCTGGAAGAGAGAATCTAAGCCAGATTTGAAACCAGATTTGTACACTCCTGCACAAGCTGACCTCATTTTCCAAGGGGTTTGCAATTCCGAGCATGAGAACAGCAGCAACAATCAGCAAATGCCTATCTCTGGAGTAAACTGGTTATTGCTTAGATTAAAAACAAATATCTGTAGCCTGTTCAGTCAGATGAAAAGAGCCAGGGAATTGAATACAATAGTATCTTAAAGGGAGTTATGATTCATGTCTGCATTGCATACTGCCTGGAAAATCGTGCCCCTGAACCCTACTCAGAGGGACTTAGAGCATTCTGTCTCATTTTCATCTTCAACAGAGACAGAGAACTGCTCAGAAGACAAGAAAGGCAGCAAGGAAAGCTAACCACTGTAATAGCTTCATAAAGGCAGCAGATAGCCCAGAACTCAAAACTGAAACCTGGAGAGGAACCTCTGCATTTGCAGTTTGTAGTGTATCAGTTAATAGCTTTTAATGAAGGTCTCTGATGAAGCAGAATTTGAAATTTTTTTCAAGTCTTCTCTGATTTCCTGTTCAGAGATCAGAATAACTGGTGAGATGGTTTAGATTCTGGGAGATACTCTGAGTCAGTTCTTGTGTTATTCACTTCATTTATCCATCACACAGAGTAAAAGTGAAAGTCTTACTAGAACAGTGAACCGTGCCCTAACTTTCCAAAAAGGAAAGAAACTAAAAAGCTTTATTGTACTGGTATGCTTCTGCTAAGTCTAGGATGGAGAAGCAGATGATGTGAAGTAGATTATATCATCCTGGAACTTTTCAGAGCAGGAGTTTCTAGGGACTCTTACCAGAAACATGGGTTTCCAGATAGAAGAGGCCCATCCATGTAACCACTAACTTCTACCAGCAATTAATATCATACTATAACACTGAAGTTTCTGTCACTAAGCTTCTCTTTGCTTCCCTACTTCAGACCATTATTTTCCACGGTGTGTCACCAAAATCTTTCCTGCATCAGTGTGCTGAGCAGTTTAACTAAACAGCTTCCTGG